CAAGAGACTTAAAAACAACCCAAACCGGGACGTCCTATCGAAGTATGGGAGGATCTTTTTCCAGAGAGTTCGAACAAGGGTAAATACAAGAGATGTTGACATAAAATGTACGCACTGAACTTCTTTATGCAGCATTGCAAGGGGAGTTCAAGAAGAATCGATTTTAGAGTCCACTAATATAGAAAATACATACACATTTTATTTCTCCCTGACGAATTGTAGTTTATCTCCCCAACGCCGGGGGCGGGGGGTGGGGTGGGGAAGCTGTCATCGACGGGGACCCTACCCCTTCCCCCTTTCCCTCCACTTCCCCTCCCCCTGCTGGCGTCACCCCTGAGGCGCAAACCGGAATCGTTCATGGCAGATGAAACATTGTCCATCTTTGTAGCTCCATAGTAAATGAGACTCCTCCTTACACCGAAATAAAGAGTAGCAAAAAAGCATTGCTATCCTGGTGGTACAGTATACCTGTCAAAGAGGACAGCAAAAGTTCCTCTTTAAAGCCTCCTCGTTCACACTGCACTGAGAATTATAAAAAAAAACCATAAAACGACCATTATCGATACTTTTACAATATATGCCTAATATGATTGAGGACGGAATAATTATATCATGACATGGTGCAGGCCTAATGTCTGATAATTCCATGGAATCTCAGATGCAAACACATTTTACATTTCAAAAATGTAAAATTAGGTTGTCTGGTATTATTATGAATTTTGATTTCGATTTCAATTTCGATTTATTAAGAATAAACATTTATATTCACTGTAAGATTAACAATAGAAATGTTAATGTTGGCCTATGCCTAAAACACTTTTGGCCCCGTCCAATCAGAAAAATGTATTTTGATGACGTCATGGAAAATACAAAAAGTTTCCTACAGAAGTTCTTTTGTTCTAAGCCTCCTTAAACATTTCAAAAATCATTGCAATATGAACTTGTTTTGGTATTACAATGAAAACTGACATCATCCAATCAGAAAACAGTACAAAAATGACGTCATATAGATTTGAAAAATGCTTTTATTGAATTCTACGGGTATGAAAACCTCTAGATAAGTCTTGTATTCGCTTAGATTTGCTTCTGTAATGAGTAATTAATTTTGGCACACTTTGACTTTAGTCTGGCCCACGGGCGCGCAATTTAATTGCTTTTTTTTTTTGGCATGCTGTATGGGTGTCTATAAAACGAAGACCAAAGACCGGCGACCCAAAAACGAAGACCCCTATTTTTTCTCTTTTATTTTGATGATAATAAGCCAGGCTGTCACAAAATCAAAATTACGACATTTTTTGGGTCTGTTTTTGAAATTTTCAAGGGTCTTCGTTTTATAGACACCCTATATGGGTGTCTACAAAACGAAGACCGAAGACCCGAAAAACGAAGACCTCAAATTATTTCTCAATTATCTTATTGAAAGTATTTCAAAATCATCATAAAACAGTTGCCAAGTACCTATTTCATTATTTCATCACAATTGAGAGAAAAAATGTGGGTCTTCTTTTTTCGGTTCTTCAGCCTTCGTTTTATAGACACCCATATATGGTGTCTATAAAACGAAGACCCTTAATTATCTCATGCATCCTATGTTGGTGGAACTACCAAATGACCCATGCTGCACATATGCCTCATTATACAACATTCCTACTGTTTATCATGAAACATGTTTATCGATGAAATAGTCAAGGTTTTTTAAGCCACCTCCCCCACCTCTTCCAAAAAAATAAATAAATAAATAAAAGTACGCGTACCGCTAGGCCAAGCCTTACTTTCGTTTAGAGAGAGTAGCAGCGCCAAGGCGCGCTCTGCCATCAGCCATGGACGTACAACATTGGTTGCCGCTTTGGAACGGGAATAAAGAGTAAATCGAAATTGACTCAGATTCAGGCAATAATGTGCTAAAAAGACGAATACTATATGTACATAGCGTAAAGTGATTTTAAAACAATATTTTCATCACGATTGGGTCTATTATCAATACCTCTATTATTAATATTATAAGGTCATTAAAATGAATGGAGAGTGCTGTATTAATATTGTTCATAGGCCTTTGTCAGTTGCTATAGAAACCACATGGAAGTATCAAGGACTTAACATTATAAGAAATACTCAATGAGATCAATCATAATTAGAAGTCGATTGATATAGGAGCAATTTTTGAACACTATTGTCAAACGTATATAAAACACAATGCATACGAATTGATTATCTTCAGTATGGGTAAATCTATAAAGTCTTCTTTGTTTAAAGCTAGTGATAAAGAAACGAGTATTCTGTTTTCTTCAATAACGGCTTTCATAATTATTCAAACATCCTTCGCAGCCGTCGTCTAACTGTTTTCATCTTCAATTCACACTCAGCTTATTGTTTCTGACGTGAAGAAGAAACTTCATAAGTTCTTCAAGAGGTAGGTTAATTCGTAAATTCTTTAACTTATTTTGCAGGAGAAAGCGAAACACGCAACTCTATTGAGTATATTGTGTTTGTTGTTTTAAAATCGTTCAATATTCTATAAAGTATAGGGTAAATTTGACGTCACCTTAAATAGTAACAAAATATGTAATTTATTTATTTTTGATCAATTTTAGTATGTTATATTGCTTGTCAATAAAGGTTTAAAAACATTAAACATGGCGCTTTATAATAGACCAACATAAGGAAAGATCTTTAGGCGTCCTTGCGCAGGAACAGTAGTAATATTAAATAAAATAAATAATTTATTTTAATTTATGTAGTTCTCAGAGTACACGTATTTTATTATTTTATTGTTATCATATCTGTAGTTTCAACAGATATTAGGGCACTCCCCTTCCGGGAGGTGCCGGATATTGTGGGCGACCCCAAATTTAAAAATTTAAATTTTGCTGTGTTTTCCGTGTATTCTGTGTGTGTATGTTTTTGTATGTTTGGTATTCAAACTGAGAAGCCACCGCTTTATTTTTTAACAATTTGTAATATGTAATTTGTTTTGTTGTGAATTTCTGAATAAATGAACATTACATACTAATCAATGATGGCATAAGTCGCAATAAAAGAATAGAAATTATTATTAGGCCTATTATTATTATTATTATTATTATTATTATTATTATTATTATTATTATTATTATTATTATTATTATCACTAGCACTATCCTCGTCGTCGTTACCATCACCACTATCATGATTATCATATTGTCATTATTATTATCGTTATCATAATGTTTTTTCTTAATTCAAATTTAGCTGCAGACTTACATTTCAAGAAACAATGAATTTGTTAAGTAACGTTCTCGTGCTTACATTTGGTGTCATCCTTCTCATAGTACAAGGTAGCTATATTATGTTATCTTATATTATGTAATATTATGTTAAGTTATGTCAATATACATTATTTTATGCCAGGTTATGTGATATTGTTTGATGCTGCCGAGTATTTAAAGTTTTAAGTATGTAGTTCACTGGTGATATAATAGATATAGGCCTATTAAAGTGTAATAGGCCTATAAAAATCTCTAGCATGTTATAGTAGACTATATTGTATTGTGTTGTAATATAATATTGTACCGTATTGTGTTAATTGCATTGCGTTGTAATATATATTGTATTATTATTGTATTGTGCTGTATTATATTATATTACACTAAATTTATCATATTATATTATATTATATCATATCATATCATATATCACATCATATTTGTATTATAAGCATTTGTATCATATTTGTATTACATTGCATCTTGTGTTGTCTTGTATAGTGTATTAATACTGTATATGTTAATATTATATAATATGTGGTCATTCTTTGTGATATTTATTTATTTTTACTATCCAATTTGTAAATGAATGAGATATAGAAATAAAATGTTATTATAAATATAATTTTTCAGGATCGTACAGCAAAGACTCGACGACGATGATGGCTGACGATTTGACTACAGCAAACTATAGCACGATGGGAACGGAAGATCCAATATCCGGCGGGTCTCTTGTCACGTACGGCCTGTGTGTCATAACAGCTTCGTTGGTGTCTGCATTCCAGTTCTAGAAAATGACGCGTTTCATTATTATATTTAAAATGTGTTTATTGTTATTATTGAAAGTTTAATCACATAAATAATTATATTCACTGTGGTGGTAAATAGTATAAACTGATGGACACTATGCTGTCGAGTGACGATTACACTTTCAACCACAAATGCATCGATGGACACAAGCACGAATTTTAACGCGTTAAATGGTACTTCAAAGTAGCTACTTCAGCTTCTTTAATTGCATAAGCAAAATACACTTCTTTTCTGACAATTGTTAAGGCTTTTAGAATGGTATAAATCATACCAAAGACACTACCATAAGACACAAATGTGATCCGTATTATTCAATAATAAATAATAAAAACATGCATAAAACGCGAGTAGCACTTTGTTTTGACTAACAATTTTTTTAACTCTACCTTTTGCTAGCTCAAGTTTGCTTTTTCCAAATAGTGTATTAATATTCTTAAATATTATGTTGTCATTGTTAATGATATTTTTTTTCACTTGTTGTGATGTAGAAATAAAATGTTATTATACATACAACTTTTAATTTTCAGAATCATACGGCAACGATCAATCGATGTCAACTACGGCTGGCGATTCGATTTCGATATGTTTAAAAATGTGTTCATAATTGTTATTGTTGAAAGTTTTTAAATTAATAAACATTGTTAGCCAAAACGAGGTGCTGTCCGTTTATATGTTAAGTAAATCAAGTATTTACTATTATCACTACGAGAGTCAAATTTATAATAGGCCTATTTGATTAATTAAAATTTAGATTAATCCAAACCCATCATTAGTAGCTGCGGAATAAACAATTTTCCATTATTTTGGTTTTAACTTGATGTTGAATTTATAACACGATGCTGCATGCATATTAGTTTGCCATTGTACGTGTTCTTTTTCCTGTGAAGCTTCTCGTGAATAAAATATGTCATAAGTCTTGTTCGTTGAAGCCACTCATAATTTCCTTTATCAAGCGCAAACCATACCAAAGCCGGGTCGGTATGTAATCAATAGTAAGCACATAAATAATGAAGTCGTTTGATATATCAATATTCAAGAGCGTCTATGACGCGGCGCGTGTCTCGTGGCGAAGCGTGATGGTTGACAAGCATTAATCAACAATTGTCTTGATAGAAACCGAAATTCCACATCAGTCTAAAAGATACCAAGATTTAATAAAATGTTAATAAATCCCAAGATTCCGAGGAGGCATTAAAAATCCCAAGATCTTGGGAAATCCAAACACGGTGGCCACATTGTCGTCAATGAGTAAACTTTAGGCATGTGGTCCGTGAATGCAAAAACCATTGACTCCTAGAAAGAGGTATTAAAAAAAACAAAGCCAAAACTTCGACCCTAACAAAATATTCGTTTAGAATATTTCTGAACTGTCGGGATATTTTCCTATACAATTTTTTTTAACGAATGCACAACATAAGGCAATTGTAGAATGGACCTAACATGTTTAAATAAAATTGTAGTTCAAAAGACGTGACAATAATGCACTTTGCTGTAATTGGTATGCTGCCCTCAGTCGAATTTCACAATTTTTTAGTCCAAAGAGGTCCGACAGCCTTGATTTTGCATACTGGCAATAAAACGACAAAGTACTACCACAAGATAGGGGGCGTCCTATTACACTTTGAATAGAATTGATAGAGTGATAGAGTTCGACATTCGAGCGAGCACGCTTTCAATACAAAGTACTCATAAAGCTATTAAACAACTAGAGAGCTGACAAGATGGCGGAAGAATGCAGAGTTGTGTATGTGTACCATCCAAGATGGCTGCCGTAGGAAAGCGCCACCTTCAGGCTTAGTATACATATTATTCCCATAAATAAGCCCTTTGACTGAATATTATTTCATTAATGATAATTAGTATTGATAATGACAAATTATTAAACTATCGTAGCCAAAAAGAGGCCAAGTAGAGCATCTTATTCAAATATTAAAAAGAATTAAAATCGTGTACATTACACCTATACACCGCAACGCTCGAGTTTCAAAATACGGGTAACTAGCTGCACTGAACATTCTGTGTAAATTGAGGGCGCAATTGAAAATGATAGTGCTCAGGGGAAATTTGATTGGCTGACTCTATTCATCGAATACATTGCTGTTAGCGCTCTGGTATTCTTATTATATCCCTATGAAAGTACTACATTTTTTAACTGTTTGAAGGGCGCCCTCTTGTTACTGTTAGTACTTTTTGGATAGAATTCAAAGATCTTATAAACACAAGATAGCGTTCTCCGCGATTTACGCGTGCAAATTCTGTAATAAGGCATGAATGGCGCCCTCTTGCTAAAAAGGAAACTTTTGACCTTTGACCGCTATGACCATACCTTACTG